AAACTCAAAAATTTTTTCTCTGCTTTTATATAAAAGTAATTTTAGTTTTTTTTTTTGTTATAATTCCTCTCCAAAAGGTCTTGTTAAATTATCTAATTTTTTACTGCTTGGAATTGCACTTTATCACAGCACTATTAAAACGATGTTTTTTTTTTCATTGGATTTGAACAACTAAATACAACAAAAAAAATTTTCACTTAATAATTGAAATATATTGACTGTTATATTTATACTACTGTATTACTGTTAGGTTTCTGCTATTTTTTGTTTCAAACTATTTAAAGAGTTGCTTATAGTAACCATGAAAAAAAAACCGACAATAAACAACATCAATCTCAGACTGCAGAAAGCAACAAATTTCTGAGCAATAAACAGAAAACTGAATATACCTGTTGCGGTCAGATTAACTGACATCGAATCAGTTAGTCAAGTTCTGTTCTTTCTACATTATTTTGATCAAATTATACTTGTATTTATGTGACGTACGTAAAAATTCTTGTTTACTTGCTTTTTTTATTATAAATAACTGGCAATAGTCTAGTTGGTAAAATTTCAAAACACTCGTAAGAATGTAGTACAAATTTTGAACTTTAAGATCAGCATTTGATACTGCAATGACAGCATCGTTTTGTCGTCTTGCTGCTACTACAATGCGTTTTGGTGATACGATCTCTGACGTAGCCATCAAAATTGTTCTTGTCAAAAACTGTTGTCAAAAATAAGTGATTCGAAAAGTTGGTGTTTTTAGGGTAACTGCTAATAGTTTGTACTTTAAAAGTTCGTTAAATATGTTGCTTTTTTTACTTTTTATATACATAACACTGTTGTTGTTAAGCGAAAGAAAAAAAAGTTGGATATTCGGTTGTTTTGATGTTTGGCAAAAAAAACTGCTTTATTTCTTGCAAATATTTCATGCTGTTTAATTACTGTCATACAGAGAGACCAATAAACATTTTTTGAAACGTTTGAAAAGATTATTTTTTCTAAAAAAAATGTTTGCCAGAAAACAGAAAAAAAATGGTGCTTTTTTTTTAAATAAACATAACATAAACGTATAAAATCGGTTAACTACTAAAATTTTAGATTAAATGTTGTTAAAGGTATCAAAGAGTCTACAGCTGCGGTATAAATTGCTTCGATAATTAAATGTGATGTTTTCTTTTCAGACTTTAATTGTCTCACTATGTTGGCTTTTGTAGGTTTTTTGAGTTTTTCGAAGAAGAACCTCAGCAACATCACTGCCCTGTTCAATGTTGTAAATTTTTTGTTCTACCGTTTTGATGATTACTTGTTCCTTTTTGATAGATACAACTTGAGTGAAATTGGAAAAAAAGAAAATAGCACAGACGAGATGACTTCAGTAAGTCTGATATAACAGTGGTTTCACCCTACAAAGTTTTATTTGTAACTTGTGACAAAAAAAAA